TCCAAAAAAAAAAAAAAAAGCAATTTGAAAAATCAGAACTTCTGGGAACACCTTTATTTGAAAATATATACTAATTTTAAAAAATTCCTTTTTTGGGGGGGGAGGTCTTAGTTTGTCCAAAGGAAGGGACAAACTAAAATAATGAGAACTGATCATTTACTCTAAGATAGTGAGAAATGATCATTTTCACTAGTAAATACATAATCTTGGGAAAAATTCTGTTTGGCAAAAGTAGTCATTTTAGTAAATAGTTTTGAGGGGAACAACGGAAAATTGACAGAGACAGATTCAACTCAAGTAATTAAAAAGTATAGTAAGTGTAAGATTGAGTAGAATTCAAATGTTTCTGGGTACTATTCTCAGATCACATTTCCAAGGGTTTAAACCAGACTAGGCAGCATTTAAAAAGCTGTGCCATAAGAAAAAACAATGCTAAGAGTTTCTTGATCTATACTCAAGAGGCACCTGCATAATGGTAAAATTTAGAGACAAAGTCCCTAAATGGAATCATGGGGAGATAGAGTAAGTCAGTAGGAAATACTCCGATACACGATTACCATTTCAGTACTCTTATGGTTACTTACTATAAGCATCCTTAATAATCTTCTAATCTTACAAGATATACATTATTACTACTGGGAACACCTTTTCAGGGTGGGGAACAAAGACCATGACAGATTATGAAATTTATTTAAATCAAGAAATTCTATACACGATTTCAGCTTTAATCCATTTGCCCCCCAAAGATTTATCCTTTCCCTCTATGTCACTCTGAGCAATCAACAAGCTGTCTGAGCTCCCAAATTCCCAGAGAGCACTTTTTTCTTTAATAGAAATAAGCTCACGGTGGGGGGGGGGCAATGTATTGCACTTTTTTCTGGGTTGCATTTCCATTTGAATTCTCCAACTGCAAGTCTATTTGTGATTATAATGTGGCATATTTTGATCTTTAAAAATAACAAAGATTAAAACAAGACAAAACAAACAACAAAGATTAGTTTCACAGTCTACTTCTCCAGGACTTATTTCAATTCAAAAAGTACTAATTTTCTTGGGAACCAGCAGTTAGCATAATGGCTATGTTGCTGGACTCCCACGGAGTCGACCACGGTTCGCGTCTTGGACCTGGTGGCTTAAAACTCAGGCCGGGCGCGTGTGCATGTGTGCCCAAGATCCCGAGAGGAGAATGGAGGAGAAGGGATTGCAGCGTAACCATTCCCCTGGGGGGGGTGCTTTCTCGCTTTCTGTCTCTATGTCTCTGTCTGGCGAGCGCACGCGCCCTATAGCAAAAAACTCTCCAAAAAAAAAAAAGTATTAATTTTCTTTGGGAGCCCCCTTCATTGTTCCATGTCAATCCTAAATAAATTGTATCAGAAATTGTTTTAAACCCTTGATTAGTGCATCTGCAAAGCCCTCAGAGCTAACACTTAGACTGCTTTCTTTTTCAGTTCAGCATGTTTCCCCCAAGAAAGAGATGCTGGGGGGTATTTGCAGTTGAAAGAAAGGAATATGAACTTCTCCCTAAACTCCTTCAACTTATCTCCCTCACCCCTACCTCTACTATATCATCCTCCATTTAAAAATAATTGCTAGTGGTGGGAACCAGCAGTTAGCGTAATGGCTATGTCGCTGGACTCCCACATAGTCAACCGTGGTTTGCGTCCCAGACCCGGTGGCTTAAAACTCACGCCGGCGCGTGTGCGTGCGTGCCCAAGATCCTGACAGGAGAATGGAGGAGAAGGGATTGCGGCGTGACCATCCCCCCTGAGGGGTGATTTCTCGCTTTCTGTCTCTATGTCTCTCTCTGTCTGTCTGGCGAGTGCACGCGCCCTATAGCGAAAACCTCTCCAAAAAGAAAAAAAAAAAGAAAGAAAAAAAAATTGCTAGTGGTATATACACTTGCCAGAGAGAGACGGGGTTGGGGGAGAGAGGGAAAGTTGGGTACAGTCATACTGCAATCTCTCCTTCTCCATTGCTCCATGCTGCTGGGATTTTTGGGCAAGCACACATGTACACCTGGCGTGGTTTTCAAGCCACTGGGTCTGGAACTCAAATCGCCATCGGCTATGTGGAATCTGGCTCCCTTACCTACTAGGTCACAGAGCTGACCCCCTTTTGTCGTTTAATAAGACTAAAGGTTATGAGCAAGTTTTTACGGGGAATATGTGGATTGGGTATAAAAAGGCTTCTTCCAAAATTTTGTCTGTGGGCTCAGATTTTAAGTTAATGATGCTAATGACATTCTTCACTAATGATGAGAATATTGAATCTTAAATAGTTTGTTAGAAGTAGCCGCCTTCCCATTTTGTCAATACTAGAGCTCCTTTTTCAAATAGAATGTCTCTGTATGTTTGAAGATTGAAGGACCCTGTGGCAGGGAACAAGAAAGTTAAAGATCTAGAAAATTTTAAATGAGAAAAGTAGTTACCCACCTGTGAGGCCCCGAGACCATCTGAACTTGGTTAGAAGGTCAGCACTCTGAGAGCTGACAGGAGCTACAACTAACGATCTGGTGAACAGTACAGTACCAGGCGCAGGAATGAGTTACCCGGAGCCCTGGTTTTCATGCAGGCCTGGAGAGGATGTGTGAGAGTTACTAAATGGCTTTTCTCAATCACTTATAACCACTGGCTTTCCTACAGTCATTGCTAATATTGCACCCCTCACACTGCCAGAATCCAGAGGGCTGTGGGGGACACATGGTGCACCGGTGTACCCACACTTCCTTCCGATCCTGATGATGGCGCATCTGAACCTGCACATGGAGAGTGTGCTTAGGGAGGAGGGTTTAGGACTGCGTAGTCCCTTGAGCGGTTCTGCGAAGCTTTCATTCCTAGACTTTGTTCAGTGCTGAGCTTGTTTGCAGTGTAGTTCATTCATTTGTTCTGCATGTTTTTGAGTGCTTTCCACGTGCTAGGTGTTGAGAGCATGATAGTAAACGAGACAGACATAGTTCCTGTCGTTATGGTGCTTATAATCCAGTGGGTAGAAGAGACAAAAGGAAGCAAATTTATGCATGCTTTTATAGCTGCAAAAGTCCCTCTCCAGCTCCTGTTTTGGAGCAGCTTTCATCTCTTTATCTAACGGGAGCCAAATGCTAAGCCACCCCTGTTTGTCTCAGAACCCAGGGTCCAGCAATCTGTTCATGGCTTCAATCTGTTCATGACATTGAATTTGTGGGCTGCTAGGACTTATATCTTTTTTTTTTTTTTCAGGCTGGCTGTATTTTTTCAGTTTTCTCTGTCCTCATGAATTCATGGTGTGAGTTTAAGTCACCACTTAGATTGCAAGCATACACCCCCATTCACTCTCAAACTCACCACAATTCGACTTCTACCCATAGTCCATTAAAACTGCTTTTTGCCATTTTCACCAAAAAAACATTCATGCTTACAAATCTGAGGAATATAGTTTTGTTGTCATTGAATTTTACTTTATTGAAAGCATTTAGTACAGTTATTGATCTATCCTTTTTCTTGGAAAAACTTCACTTGTTCTTCTGTTTTACCTCCATTTGCATGTTTTCTGCCTCTGTGACTTGGAGGTAGCTCCCTACTCGGTCCTTCTCTGGACTTCTCATGGCAGCTCCATTTAAATGTACAGCAGGAAACGTGGACTCAAAACTTCCCCATCGTGAACTCAAAACTTCCCCCATGTTTTTGTCTCTTTCTATTATTCTATTATTATTATTTATGCCAGAGGACATCAAAGTGCATGAGAGAGAGAGAGGACCCCCTCCCCATGGGCTTTGTCAGGATACAACCCTTCCTCCAATTCTCTACCCCACTGGAATCCTGAGCACGTGCACGCATGCCCAATGCATTTTTCAAACTGCCAGGGCCAGAATGTGAACCCTACTTGACCACATGGGATCCCCTTTCTGTGCAGCACTAAACAGCAGTGCTAAGGCTGGCCCATTTAGTCTATTTTAATTTTCACTTTTTACAGGAAAGTATATGCACTCACCAGAGTGAAAAAGAGAGAGGGAAGGGGAGAAAGCACCATCCTGAAGGGGCGTGATTACACTGCAATCCTTTTTCTTCCATTTTCCACCCTGTCAGGATTTGGGGCATGTACACAATTGCATCCAGGGTGTTTTTCAAGTTGCCAGTGATAGGATTTGAATTGCACTCAGCCATGTGAGCCAGCTTCTTTAATCCCTAGATCATAAGATGTCCCTAGTCTCTTTTTAAATAATCTGGTATTTCAGATCCAGATTTATTTTTAATTTACCAGAGGGTGTATATGCTTGCAAAAGAGAGAGAGAAAGAGCCTGCCATGGGCATGGTCATATTGTAATCCTTTCTTCTCCATTTCACCCTCCTTCTGAGATTTTGGGCACACATGCACATGTGCCTGGCGAGGTTT